CACCATACACAGACCTTTAGGAATCTCACTCAGGTAGATACTTAATTGAGTCTCATAGAGTCAATAAATACATTAACCTAAATTTCTTCCATGTAAAACTATGTCTAAAAGCTCATCTGCTATATTTACCTGCGGATCCAGAGACCTCTTGTCAGCAGCTTATTTACCTCATTATATTCACCTACATTCTAATTGGCAGCAGGCGATTTGAAGGGCAGCTAATGACTTTAATGGGAGTCATTTGTCTGTGTTTACCGAGTTGCTGTGCTAATAAGCACGGTGCAGTAATAAGGTGTAATGTGACGGCATATTCACTTCAAAAACAAACATTTTAGAGGAGGGATAAAGAGACGCATTGAATGGTGCAGGAGAGGAGCAAAACTCACACGGCTGCGAAAATTCCCTCATGGTCGTAACGGTGAAAGATTCTGACACGGTACGTCATTTCATTCTACCTCAACTCTCTCCTTCATCCCACCTTTCCACATCCTTAATCCCTAAAAGTCACAGTTTAGCTTTTTCCTTCTTGCATTTAATCAGGATTAGCTACAACTTTCCCCTCATTTTCAAAAGGGGTGGCATTCTCAAGGATTTTTTAACGCTGTAATCCGCATAGGTGTGAAAACCTGGAAGCGACGTGAGAAAACTTTCATAGCCAAATTCCTGACATTCATACTTCCGCCCCTGTCCATTTTCCACGATGTGTTGACAGCAGCGGAGAAATACAGAAAAGAGAAATACTGCTGCAGAACAGCAAAGGTGTGTGTGACCTGTAAATGCGTTAAAATCCTGTTTGCATTTTTCAAAGGTTATGCATATTTTGCAGCAGGCTTCCTGCCTGTCTGTGTTTTTGCAGCTAATATTATTCAGTATAACCATCCGTCCATTAATGGCACACATCTACAGGCCAGCAGAGCACAACTTTACGGTTGTATGGCACCAGTTTAGTTTAGTCAAGCCACCTGCAGCAGGGGCCAAGACAAACCAACACCGGACATGAACACTACAGCCCTGCGCTGCAGCCGCGGGCTCAGGCGTGGAGAACGAAATGCCAAAGAAGTGCCAGCGCTGCAGAGAAGACGTCAATTGAGTCTAATGTGGAGGAAGTTGAGACAGACAAAATAAAGTGAAACAAGAAAACCAAAATACACTCTTTTCCAACTCTGTGGAGTGTGACTAATGAAGATTGATAACACTGGAGCTGTCGGACCTGTGAGATGAAAAATGTACCCTTGTGTTTGTTTTCTTACTGGCTCATAATGCTAACACCTTTTAATGATCACAGGTTGAACACAGGAGCAGCAGTAGATAATCCTGCTGATTCTTCCGTGAGGAAAAACACAGGAGCTGATTCCGACCAGTGTCCGTTTTCATGCGACTGACCTTTGTTGTCGATGAGGAAGGTGTATGAAGCCAGGGAGTCTTGGTAGTATGTGACATCCTCCAGGATGTAGGCCAGATTCACATCCACCCCGACCACGCCGAGCAGCAGGTTCCCAAAGTAGCACGGCCGGCTCACAGTCATGATAAATCCTGGAGAGAAAAACCCAATAGCACAGATTATACATGTGAATTAATCTCATGAGATCCCATCTCAACAAAACTGTGCACAAGTGGATTGGTGCTGTTTAAAAGGCGAAGGCTGTTTGATTTAGGTCTTCTCCATTCACTGCACTTTATATGTACTTCAGAAAAAAAGATCTTTTCATGGCAGTATTTTTAGAAAGCATCCGCAGTTTAAGTGCCTTTTGCAAAGTGCCGGAAAAAAAAATATTAATATGAAAAGTAACAACAGGATGAGGCTGACACAGTTATAAAGGTCTTTATAAGAAAACAAAAGTAACCTCGCTTATTATTTATTTTTATCATTATTATTATTAACTTTGTATATTTCTTCAACTGACACTGCTGCTCGTAAACATCACCAGATTAATGCCAGTGACTGATTCACTCTAATTATCAGGTTAATCAAATAATTGATTTATGTTCATTTAGTTCTTCTCATTACAAATTGATCTGATTCATTTTTTTTTGGGGCAATAATCTAAAACATCAGTCAGACTGAACTTCATTCCGGTCCAGTCGGGTCCAGACCACTCACCGTCTCCCATGGGGTCGGAGTAGGGCAGACTGAAGCCGGCCAGGTCGATCATACGGTTGGGGAGGTTGATGTAGAATCGGCCCACTGTCGTCTCCAGGTTGCTCAGCTGGTTGAGAACCATCATGCTCCCCTTCACCACCGGCATCATGGAAGCTCCTGCCGAACCAGGTGATGATGCCCCAGAGGAGCGGTCCCGGTCCCGGTCTCCTGCTCTGTCCACGCCGTACTTCACCGAATTCTGCTCCGCGAGGTCCCTCAGGAAGGCCAACTCCTTCAGGCCCGTTACTCCCTCTGCAGGAGGAGGTGATGGAGTAGTTAATGGGTTTACAACAGGAGGGGGCAGAGTCCATAACTGAATTTGCTTGATTTAATCAAGCAGGGATATTGAGGACAGATCCGTAAGTGATGGCACGGCTAAGGGCTTATTGAATAGGGTAATTGTGCAAATGAAAAGAGGAGGGAGTGGCTGACAGGGAGGCGATAAGAGTAAACAGCTCATGACTCAAAGTCCTTTTATAGATGGTAACCCTCGCCTTTCTTTCCTCTCCGACTGTAAGAAAACAAAACAATTCCTTCAGGGAGCTGGAAAGAGAGAAATCACACACCAGCTGCCAAACAGGGGCTGAATTCATCAAGTTGTATTTTGGGAACAATTGACGTCATGCAGTTCACGTGGTCCCGCAGCGAGAAGCTTGAATCAAGGCACATGCTACTCGCTGCCACGCGGACTCCCCAAATTGATTTGGCGTCAACAGCGGAGATATTTCATACATGCCGACCCTGATCTGTGATCCTGTTTCATTATCTCTATCAGCTTTACTCGTACAATCCCACACATCTGCCAGACCCAACTGTGCCACGAGTAAATCCTCACGTATCCGAGAAGTTAATGCACACCTCAGACTTTATCTTTCCAAGCTTCATAAGGTCGCACAGAGGAGAATGGATGACCATGGCTGGGCCCTACAGCTGTCACCTGGAGCATTTGGCATCCCACAACCTATTAGGAAGGATAGGAACATAGCATGTCTGCCAGCATCCAATCATTGACTGGATTACAGCAGAATCCCCTTTTAATGCCAAAGCTCTGCTCTGCCGAACGTCACGCTGGGCGACAACGTCAAACAAACACAAAGGGGAAGTTTGCAGACAGCACAGGATTCGTTTATTTTAAATCCAGAGGAGCATTTCCCACTTTTGATGAACCTCATCGACCAAATGAACTTGACTCTTATGTTTTTTTTGTAACCAAACACAGTCACAATAACAGTTCTTGCTAAAACTCTAAACTAGGGGGACGCATCCTTCGGAGGCTGCATTTGAAGATTGATTGTGTGACATCAACACGACTAGGCTGTTCCATTTCAAAGGATCCTTCAAATATGGCCAACAAATGTGTCCTTTTCCCTAAAATAAATCCCATCAATCTTTAATCCAGAAATTGACCCTTGAGTCCTTTTTTTTTATAATGAAGAGTCCTTCTATCACATCGAATCTACAAAATGAAACGTTTAGTTGACAGAAGTAATTTAACCAGAAAAACATCTGACTTTTTTCCAGACGTATGTGATTGTGAACTGTGACTGTGAAGTCTTTGCTTTGGCCAAACAACTGTGAAGACACCATTTTAAAGCATGATGATCAATGTGTAGAAACTAGCACACACCCACCCACCTGTGTATTCTACTGCCAGGGGACTGCTGATCTCCTTTAACAATCAGCACTCCACATTTGGCAGAGGATGCAGGGAATAAGACACACACACACACACACACACACACACACA